GAATTGTCACTAACAGAATTAGTCCTGAAAAATTAACTATTTCACCTGAACCTTTCTTGTCTTATATTTCACACACATCTCTTCAACTAATTAAACAAATGTTGAAGAAACATACAGCATTAAAAATTAATTTTGAACTGTTTGTTACACATACTTTACCCAAGAATAATGAATCATCTATTAAATCTTTTAATACTAAATATGAAATTATATACCAAAACAGTGATCTATCGTCTGTTTACAATAGTTTAAAAAAAAATAACGAACAAGTGTTCAGAATTCGAGCTTTGCGAATCAGATTGGACTATTGAGGCCATAAGACACTTAGAATTAAATATTGTAAAATATAATCCGTTAAGATTTGGTTCGTATATACCATTACCTGAAAAAATACGTAATACAAAATCATGCTTAAATTTAAAAAACAATGATAAACACTGCTTTCTTTGGAGTATTTTAGCTCATTTGTATCCAACTACAAGTAATCCAAATAGAGTGAATTCATACCCTCATTACTCTGAAGTTTTGAAAACAGATAATTTGTTATTTCCTCCAAGTTTTAATGATATTAAATTATTCGAGGAAATGAATCCTAATGTGAGCGTTAATATTTACGGTTTAGATAAAAAAAATAATGTGACCGGGCCGCTGTATAAAACTTAAAAAGAAAGATAATGCATGTTAACTTACTTTACTTAAATAAAAATAATAAACATCATTTTTGTTTGATAAAAAGGTTTGATAAACTCGTACACAAGCAATTAACTAAGCATAAATCTAAAATACATTTATGTGAAGAATGTTTTTTATATTTTAACACTGCAGAAAAACTTTTAAATCATGATTGTGCGAGGATCCAAACAATTTTACCGGAAGAAAATCCTAAACTTTATTTTTCAAACTATGAAAAGACTCGAAAGAATTCCTATTGTAATATACGGCGACTTTGAGAGTTTATTACATGAGTATTCAGACAAAAATAAAACTACGTATGTGGAAAATATTCAAATCCATGAGGCCAGTTGTTTTGCATATTATATATTTTGTGATTCTAAGCCCGATCTCAATAAATTAGTTTCCTATCGAGGGTCAGAGTGTGCTAAAATATTTATTGAATCAATTAGTAAAGATGTTAAACGGTTACATAAATTACTTTCAAATAATACACCTCTGGTAATCGGTGAAACGGGGCGAGACTATTTGAATAAAGTAAAGGAATGTCATTTGTGTAAAAAAATATTTAGTAATACAGATATCATAGTTGCAGATCATGATTACTTGAAAATACAGAGGACCTGCTCATAACGAATGTAATTTAAAAGCTAAGACATGCTCATTCATATCTATAATATTTCACAACCTTTCTGGTTATGATTGCCATTTATTTATAAAGGAACTTTCAACCATTTGCGGTCGTATAAATCTAATACCCCGAAATAAAGAAAACTTTATTTCATTTACTAAGTTTATTCCAATAGAAAATAATAATAATAATAAGAACTCAGCTCAGTTGAAATTTATTAACTCCTTCAACTTTTTGAGCTCGAGCTTAGATAATTTAGTGAAAACGATGGAAGTGAAAGATTTTAAAAATTTACGCAAGTTTTTTGAAGATAAACATTTATTTAATTTAGTTCGAAAGAAAGGTATCTACTGTTATGACTACTATTCATGGGATCGGTATGAAGAAAATCAATTACCAGAGCAATCGAAATTTTTCAATCACCTTACATCTCAATCTGTTTCAGATGAAGATTACAGTCATGCATTGAAGGTATGGAATGATTTTAAAATCCGTAACTTAGGTGAATACACCGATTTATATTTAAAATGTGATGTATTACTGCTGTGTGATGTTTTTGAAAAATTCCGAGAGTTTAAAACATTATAGTCTTGACCCATGTTACTATGTCTCATCCCCATCATTAAGTTGGGATGCTATGTTGTTTCATACGAACATACAATTAGATTTACTTTCAGATATTGAAATGTACCAATTTTTAGAGAAAGGAATTCGCGGTAGTCTTGCTCAATGTTCTCTAAGATATGCAAAAGCAAACAATAAATACATGTCCTATTATGACAGCAATGATAAAAACAATTTTTTAATTTATCTTGATTGTGTAAATTTATATGGCTTTGCTATGCAAAAGTTACCAACGGGGAACTTTAAATTCCTAAGTGAAAAAGAAATTAATCAATTTGATGTAATGAGTGTTCCTGATGATAGTGATATTGGGTATATTCTTGAAGTAGACTTGCACTATCCAATTGAAATACATGATGATCATTCAGATTTACCATTTGCAGCAGAAAAGTTTGCTCCGCCAGGAAGCAAACATAAAAAAATTAATAGCTAGTTTGTACGATAAATGTAAATATGTTATTCATTATAAGCATTTAAAAGAATGTTTACGTCATGGACTCATTTTGCTCAAAGTTTATAGGATATTGTTATTTAATCAAAATGCATTTTTAGCACCATATATTTTATTACAACACTTAGACAAAAGGCTGCTTCAAACTTTGAAAGAGTTTTTTAAAAAACAAAACAATTCTATTTTTGGAAAGACAATAGAGAATAAACGAAAACAAGTCGATGTAAAATTGGTTAATAAAGATTGGAAAGATACATCCAATAAGACTAATAAACTATGTGGGGCTGAAAAATATGTAAGCGCTCCTAATTTTAAAAATTTGTCAATAATTTCAGATTCGTTAGTAGCAATCCAGTTAGAACTAACAAAAGTTATCCTTGATCGGCCAATTTACATTGGGTTTTCAATTCTGGATTTAGCTAAGAGTCATTTATATCATTTTCATTACTCTATAATGAAACGCATGTATAAAAATTCACTGCAACTCTGTTATACTGATACTGATAGTCTGCTGTATCTAATAAATACATACATACATAATGATTTTTATGAAGACATGAAAAAAAATATAAAATATTTTGATACAAGTAATTATCAGTATGATATGCCCAAAGTCAATTGTAAAATTCCAGGGTTTTTCAAAGACGAAATGGATGGTGATATAATAATTGAATTTGTTGGTTTCTTATATTTACGCGAACACTATACATTTTTAAATAAAACTAATTTTACGGATTTTATCGCGTATATTAACTTATTTTTATATTCCCGACAAACATAGGAGAAACAAAAAGATCTATTAAAACCCGCGTTAAAGAACATATAGCTGACGTGAAGCACCGACGTATCGAGAAGTCTGCAGTTTGTGAACATGCTCAAGATCGTCCCCGCCATTACATTAGATTTGATAGACCATAAATCCTCGCAAAAGAACACCGATTCCTCCCAAGGATGATTCGCGAGGCTATTGAAATTAAAAAGACATCCTAATTTCAATAGAGAAGATGGATGGGTGCTGCCATTTGCTTGGGATCCCATAATTAATAAAATCAAATCCAAACCCAAGTATACCACTGCTAGACTTCAAGACACTGTAAGCTCATTCTGCGTAAATCGGACCAAAAATTAATATTAAAAAACTGAAGGTAGCCGAGCTAACTATGACAGCAGGACGTCAAACACCTCAGTCCCCCGTGACCACGGGTGCTGGAAAGCACCCGAAACGTCGGGAATATAAAAATAAGTTAATATACGCGATAAAATCCGTAAAATTAGTTTTATTTCAAAATTAATTTGTTGGATTAAGAGCGAAATTATATTGTATTGATTCTAAAACAACCTCAATAAGAAAAGCTAAGGGTATTAAAAAATCTGTTACTAAAAATCTTAATATTGAAAAATATAAACGAGCGTTATGGTCTAATGAAAACTTTAGAAAGAGTATGTGTATAATTAAATCAAAGAATCATCAAATATTTACTCAAAAAGTTGATAAACTTGTACTTAATAGAGACGATGATAAAAGAAAACTTATGGCAGATGGCTACAATACGTTGCCGTGGGGACATTATAAAACTATATTTTAATAAATTTGAATGTAAAACTATGTAATGCTACTACTGTGTACTGTATAAGTAAGAGATAAATGTATAGCTTAAGTTACATGTTTATAACTTTATATTAATTTAAAATAAATAAATATTTAGTTTAATAAATACATTCGTTGTAACAATAATTGTTTTTTCTTTTTTCCTCTACACAATTGAATAATAATGATACATAATAAAACAACAATAAATTTCATTAATAGCTATTCTATTTGGTGGTAAATCGTGAAGCTGCTCCTTTCGGTTGTAATAATTTAGTGTAAATTTATCCACATCCTGTGCATAGTAATACGGATTAGTGATAGGATTAGAATCGTTGTGTTCCTCAGTGTTGACCATGATCTGCAATTAACAAAACAAGTATGAAGTCAAAAAGAAGGTAATGGCGGCTGAATTTCTAAATAGTAAAAAAAAAATGATTAAACTCACCAATATAGATGATATTTGACGAGCGTTTTAATCAACGTGCACTCGCTATAAGAATAAAACAATAATGAAACAATTGAGGGAGGGTGAGAGACGCTCTTCAATCCAGGTAAGACACATCATTTTTATTTAGTTAGCGGATGGTTGCAAATTAATTAATATCTTTATTGTAATGGATTTACGATGTTAGGTTTTCGAGTCTTAGATTTTTTTTTTCGTTACGGAATTTCTTGATTCGGTCGCCGCGCTCAAAGTCCGCGATAAAAGCTATGCAATAGCTTAAAAACGTTTATTAGCACTAACCACAATGAAATTAGGCTAAACAAGTTGTATTATTAGAAATTAATCATATAGATGCGGCAATACCATCAGTATCTCGCAAACGCTCTGAATATAATGCTCAATAACTCAACTGGAAGTGGAAGTACACTTGTTCCCAGCAGGATAGAACTGTGAGTATGTAGACGTTAATTTGGTAAAACTAAAAATTTTGCACCTCTACTGGAGAGAATTGGGGTCTTCAGCGGCATGTAGCTCGAGCGAAACGAGAGCAACTGACGCAGAAGCCGCAATTCACACCTACTGATGACTAATATCGCCGGGCGTTCTTGTTTTTAATAAATTGAGCAACAAAGGGTGAGCAGTTAGCTCCAAAAATTAAAGAAGTCATTACATACGTTTTAAATCTATCCGTAGGGCTGCTCCTCCATAAAAACCTTACAGCGTTCTGATCTTCGGCGTGAACCTTGACTCTTAGGAACATGTCCTTTATGTCACCTGTTACTGCGATTTTTCTTTCCCTGAAGCGCAGCATAATACCAAGAAGTGATGACAGTAGGTCGGGCCTAGTGAGTAAATAGTCGTTAAGACATAAACCATTTACCTTACCGGCAGCGTTGAAGACCAGCCGAAGCTTGCATTTATTGGGGTTGTCAACACCAAAGTGTGATAAGTACCATGTGTTCGGTGTGACGTGAGTTTCAATCAGTTCACGCGCATAATCATTAACCAGCAAATGATTAATGCGTTCCTCATACCTTTTACCAAAAACTGTGTCTTTTTCCATTTTCCTTTCAATACCTTTCATCCTTTTCAGTGCATTTGGGTAGGAGTCCGGCATCCTGCGATCGGCTTCCCTCCAAGTTAAGCCAACATGCCAGCGTCCGTTAATGAGCACCGCGGATCGCTCCAGCCATCGCCCGATGGCGCGCACTTCGTCTCCATTCTGGCGCGGCTTACCAGACACGCCCATGGCATCCCAGGCAAACGAGCGTCGGACCTCATTATGGATCTCTTGCAGCAAACCGTCATCCTGTGAAGTGACACTTACCAACATCGATTTCCGTGATGTTCAGAGCAGCCTCAGTGCTGCAAGCGTCACGGCCGGCTGCAGAGGGACGAGCGGCGCTGCACGACACGCGCACTTTTCCATGTACGCACCATCCGAGGGGAGTAAGTGTAGCGGACGGCTCATTTGTTTTACATAGCTTAATTTTCAAAGGAACTAATAAATGATAATTATCTTGTCCTATCAATATTTCAGGCTTTTGAGTTAGAGGTACATAATTGGCCTTGAATGCTCATTAGATAAGGGTAATTATTACAGTCAAAAAGGGATAAGTTTTGAGTAAGCAAACATAATTCTTTTACACAACGCATTCTTATGTTATGTAACGTATCGTTATTAGTACTAGCAATGTTTACATTCATAACTATAGACTTACAAACTAGTTCGTTATCACTCCACGCTTCGCGCATTTTTAATGTTTCACTACGGCCGCGCAACCCGACGCGCTCAGCGAGCCCTGCGCTTATCAGTGACATACTTGATCCGTCATCAAGAAGCGCGGTGGCGTTCACTAAACCGGTAGGTCCATTCACACGAATAAGTAACACTTTCAATAAAACTTTATGATCGCTCGCGTTAATGTGGGTTATTGTCTCTGAATTTACCGTAGGCTCGGCCTGTTGGCCATACATGTTCGCCGGAATTGTAGTCGATGAATTATTACTATCATAGCTGGGGCGCTCATGTTGATTAGACTTAGAATAATGAAGGAGGCGATGATGATCTTCATTGCAGCCGTCTTTGTTGCACACAGGGGCTGCGCAGATTTTGCGATCGTGTTTTGAAATTAAGCATTTGTAACATAGACCGTGTCTCTTCACACATTGCCACCGTACTTTACGTAGTGCTTTCTTAAATTGTTTGCAATCTGTCAGGTTATGTACAGCGGTGCGGCAAAAGAAACAATTCGCGTTACGTTGTTCGGCTTGAACTAATACGGTGCGTGGGGCGGTGCGTGAGTGCGTGGAGGCATGCTCGTTTTATTTTTCAGACCATGATCATTTCGCACTGTAAAAAATCTAGCGAAGTGTGTCGCTGTGGCCGCCATTCAGCACGAAAAAGATGATGACCCTATTAAAAGAAGCCTGCGGGGAAGTCATAAGAGATGACTGGGCAAAGGTTATTGAGAAGACTAAAAACCTGATTGTGGAACATTTTGACCGAGATATCAGGATTGATTCTGTTATTGATAATAATATAATTATACATGTAGGCGAAGATGATGATGAAGACACCACCTCCTCAAGCGAATCGGAGTCTGATTAATATTCTGTACGCACATTCAATTCAATGTACTTTATTGCATAGAAATACAGATTGTAACTTTGTAACAAAGAATAAATAAAACAATTTTATTATATTAATATTACCTTTTTTTGCTTTCCACTTAAATTACTAAAATATAAATTTTAAATGATTCCGACAATTTAAAACGAAAATAATCTTAAAAATAACGCGGCGGTTCATTTTGGAGGAACGGTAACGAACTCAGTGTTATGTTGTGCCCATCACTAGTCGTGACTAACTGATAGGTGTCAGGAACGCATTCTCTGAACGGCCGAACTTATAGTCTTTTCGCCCGCTTGCAGTCGATTAAAGGAGTTACAGAGAATTGACCGTAGATTAGTACATAGAAGCCTTTGGAAGTGTCTTTGTAAGGATAAAAATGGAGTATGTGCCAATATACACTGCGAGCATAGCTCAGTTGTCTCACTTGTGAAAAATTCGTTCCGTTATGAACTGCCAGTATATTGCCACAGTACCCTAGGGAAATATATGACGTCATAAATCACCGCCATTTTTGTACTCTGAGGTGCTCTCAGTTATTTGATCACGTGATCAAAAAACATAACAGCGCCTAGAGATTTAACAGATCCAACAGTGATTTTTATTATTATTAATTAATATTTTTATTCAAATAAATCGGACATTAAGTTTTAAAAGCAACAACATTCAAATAATAATTTTCCTTGTTGAGCAGAAAACGTATACATGATAAATATTTTCATTTGAAAACAGTGACGAATAATGGGGATGACAGTATACTAGACTGCGTTCCGTTTTAAACAGTAACCAGTATAGCAAACTAAAAAGGAACTGCTTCACAGTATACTGAATTGACGTCACAACTTACAGTGGTTACAGTGTATATCGGAATACAACCATGATGATATTGAATCTACTTTTAGAGGTATCCTGTTTGGTTCATAAATAACAGTTATAGAGATCGTTTTCTTTGATGGCTCTCATAAGCCTTGTATTGTTTGTTCCAGGACTGACCTGTAGCTCTGGTCGTTCGCGATCTGCATCTTGAGCTCGATCCACTCGCGCTCGTGGGCCAGGTTGAGCAGGAACTGCTGCAGCTGGCGCGCCTGCGACAGCTTGTTACCTCGTGAAGCACACTGCTCCTGCAACACAACATAATCGTCATTCATTCATTCGCATTTTAACTCACTCATCCATTTAATATCTTACTCACCCACTAACTAATCATGATCACACGCCAAAACATTCATTCATTCACCCATCAAGTACTCATCCATTCAATATCTAACTCACCCATTAACTTAAATCATATTCCCACGTACACATTCATTTATTCACTTATTCATTCACATCTTACTAACTCACTAATTTCATTCACGAGTTCACCGTTTTTTCTGGTATGTGTCATGATCGCCTTTTACTACGCGATACTTTGGTGGTTCTTCTTACGTTCTCGTCACAAAACTAATATGAACTAATATTAAAACTCGGATTTTTTCTGTATTTATTCATTTGTCATTACAGCTTATTAAAGTACACTGGTGACATAGTTGCCACGCTTGGCAAGCGTGTTGGCTACTAGTATTTCATTTTCTAGTGTCCATTTTTTTTATTCCCTGTGTCACCTTAAAACGACTATGGGATGATATTGGTTAATGTATATTTTTACATTGGCACATAATAATATAATAAATAAAAAATAAAGGTACGTTTCAATTGGATGTTTAAATTTAAATTCCATAAGTTCTTCTATGCTACAGGAGCAATAAACTTTCGCCTAAAACCACCTCAGACATCAGACCTGTGCCTGTAACATTACTTACCAACTCGCTGACTCGCTCACTCACTCGCTCACCCACTGACCTTGAGCCGGTGCGCGCGGTCCTGCAGCAGGCGCGCCCGGCACTCGATGTAGGGCGCGTCGCCGTGGCCGCGCTGCAGCAAGCCACCCGCGAACTGCTGCATCTCGTCCACGTGCCCCAGCTGCGACTCCAGCAGCTTCGCGAACTCCGCGTGCTTGCGGATCAGCGTCTCCACCGCATCCAGGTTCTCGCCAAGGTCGTCATTGTTGAGGAAGGCCTCCTTGGACGCGAGCCAGTCTTCCGTCTGCTGTGCTTGCTCTTTAAACAGCTGTAGCTCGTGAGCCTGCAAGCATAATACTTGCATGTAATTGGATTTTCATTAAAATCGATTATATAATCGTTTTTATACGAAATAAATCGGCTTGTAAAACCCCAAACAACACATTGCACTGTAATGATCCTATTGTGAATACTAGGTAATTGTCAAGAAATTATTATATTGTCATCGGTTCTTAATAAGTATGAAAAATTAAAATTATTCAAGCATCGGGAACTGGTTGGAAACTAAATAAAAAAAAAAAAACATGTATGCAGTTCACACTCGATAGAAGTGAAACCTTCAGAAAACTAAACTTCCAGAGTGAATTTTTTTTTTTTTTTTTTTATAAGATAAGGGTGACAAACGAGCACACAGTCCACCTGATGGTAAGTGGTTGCTGCGGCCCATAGACATCTACATCTATCCTCGTTTGCGAATCAAAATGCAGATGCGTTGTCACCCGTGAGGACTAAAATGGAATGCCTCATTTCCAGTAAAAAGAGCCTCCGGCCACCTGCACTCACCAAGCGAAACGCAGAGGTAAACCTCTACTTCACGTTGGTATTCTGTGAGGTCGTGGTACCACCCCGGTTCGAGCCGGCCCATCCGTGCGACAGCATAAGCCGCCGCGTGGCTCTACCACTGTTAGAAATATTACTTCATACTTAAGTAACAGTGTGCCTAGTGCGAGTTTTTTTACGCGTTCGATACCGAGAAAGTTAACTACAATTTGTATGGAATAAAATCAGCGCCAACTAGTGGCAATAATCGGAATCACAATTCATGAGTGCGAGTTTATTACGTCGTCGATATCGACCATCGAGCATTCACTCGCATTCGACAGTGAGAACGTAAACGCACGTGATTGGTTGTTTCAAGTATTTTGCGAGTGCGAGCGCCGATTTGATCATAACATAAACAAACTTTACGCCGTCGATATCGAAAAAGTTTTCACCTAAATTTTGACAGTGAGAAAGCATAGTGAGAACGATTGTTGAAGGTTTAATTTTATTTCGTTTTGTGTGAACAATATTTAATTATGGCAGGACGTTTTTTTTCGCATGGAGGATGTTTGCAGCCGCTAAGGCACAAGATGACCGCAATTATAACGCCAATGTTGAAAGAAGAGCTCGTGCATCTTTCAACCCTTTGTTACACCTCACGGGGAAGCAATTTAAAGATAGATATCGCATTTCCAAGAAAGTCTTCAAGTTTTTGTGTAAAGAGCTAAGAAGTTTGACAAATCTTAGGTCCTCTCAATGCGTTTCCTTGGAACATAAAGTATGTATCGATCATTAAAGTATTCACATTTTTGCAACTCAAGTTTAAAACAAGTGCAAGTTTAAATATAAGTTTGTTCTCTTTTTAATTGCAGGTGCTCACTGCTCTATTCTTTTTTGCAACTGGATCCTACCAAAGGCCAGTTGGGGTTGCAAAGGAGAAAAATGTGTAGTGTGTACATAGAAGAAGTTACCCAGGAGCCGACACACAAAAATATAATAAATAAATATATTCGGTTCCCTGATACTCCAGCTGCTAGACAAGCAGTTAGTCAATGGTAATAAATATATGCTTATTTTTAAACAACCTTATGCAAATTATTCTTAGATTCGGTTAATATTTATTTTAAAATTCAGTTTTTACAGAAAATATGGTTTTTTATTTTTTATTATTCCTTGGTTAAAAGGGGGTAGAAAATAAACAAAATGTCTTCTTTTCAGGTATGTGATGATGAATATAGAATTTTAAATGTGAATCCCAAGCAAATCATGATTCCTTTATATGGGAAAACAGTAACTTAAACACATACGTGCAATCTTTGCACCAAAATGGAGAAATTGTCTGGCTTTTAGGTAATATATCCACAGTATAACTTATTGGGATGTTTTGAGTTATATGAAGTATTTTTAAGTAAAACATTACTAAATAATTTCTATCTATATTATTGACAATAACATGTATATTTTAACTCTAGGAGATTCTGGATATCCCCAACGCCCATGGCTTATGACACCATTTTTAGACGCTGAGTCCAATAATTATAATGAAAAACACATGAGAGCTCGAGTTTTTATTGAAAACACATTTTCAAGGCTGAAAAATCGATGGCGATGTCTGCACAAGGATAGAGTTTTGCACTACAAGCCCGTATAATGTGCACACATTATTTTAGCATGCTCTGTGTTACATAATATAATTATTAATTTTGGTGTTGAGGATACAGAGGAAAATATAGGTAGGTATCTTAATTTTAAATTGAATTACTATAATATATTAAGCTAACTTATAAATAGTAAACTTAATATTTGTATTTATTATGATTTATTTTTAGGTCTGCAATTTGAAAGGAGAATGGTGGAATCTGATCAAATAAGTTACACAGTAAGAGAAGCTACCTCTGATTTAATTAGAGGTAGAATAAGAGATCAATTAGCAAGAAGGTTACTATAGGGATTAAATAAATAAATTTGAATAAGCTTAAATCTTTCTTTTATTTATAACCAGCCTTAAATTTTATCACAAATTTAATTAAATAATTACAATTACAACTTAATACAACAATTTAACAATTACAAGAACATTGAAACAGAACAGAAAAGTAATCTAAATTATTTTGTAGAACTATGCTGTAGCTATATTAATAGTATAGTTGTAGCACGAATGGGTCGGCTCGACCAGGGAAGGACCACGCTCTCACAGACTACCAGCGTAAAATAGCAGCCTAACACTGCTGTGTTTCGTATGGTGAGTATAGAGAACCGGAGTCCCTTTTTACTGGAAAAGAGGCATTCCATCTTAGAGCTCACGGGTGACAACGCATCTGCATTTTGATTCACAAGCGAGGATAGATGTAGATGTCTATGGGCCACAGCAACCACTTACCATCAGGTGGACTGTGTGCTCGTTTGTCACCCTGTCCTATAAAAAAAAAAGTTTCCAGTATTCTTTGGCTTGGAGAAACTGTTGTGCTGCCTGCTCTGTGTGGGCTGGCCTCACTCGTCTTCGAGGTGATCCTCGAGTACGAATTGGTCTTGCACGGCAAGGTGTAGTTTGCCCCTACAAAGCAGGCCCTGGTTGACTTTCTCGGACTTGAGATGAGATCATAGTTGGAGTGAGCATGCCCGTATCTGTAATAATTTCAAATTTATTTAAAATGATCACCTTCATGAATAATTAGTTCCATCTTACTTTCCATTAGTACCTCCACAAATGAAATAAGTGGAGATGTCACAGTATTTGCTGAGGCAACATGAGGTTGTGTTGATGGCCCTGGGTCGTTCCAAGATTGAGAACCTTAAATATGAAAAATACAAATGAAACTTTCAACAAAATCAATATACTTAGTAGTTGTGTACAAGAACCAAAAAGACAGACAAGTTGGCTTGTAAATTTATAAAATTAATGTAATTTTTATCTATAAGTAAAATTTATTCATATTTAACTACTTGAGTGTACATTGAGTGGCTCATGTATATTTTATTACTTTTAATTTATTCGGAGAAAGAAGACTTACACACACACAATATGTGGTTTAGTGGTTCCAAGAGCTGCTGCCAAGCAAGAATTTTTGGGTTTGATTCCCGGAACAAACTCAGTACTACTAGCCTGAAGATTTTATACTGTCTAATAAGTAAGTTATATATTACTTTGAACTTCCTCTGCAAAGGCAAGAGATGGTGAAGATATAGGCCTTGGCAGTGTTAGGGGCAATTGTGGGGCAATATTTTCCTAAGCAGGTTGTGAAGTACCTAAAATAAAAAAATAAACATTGTTAATATAATATAATATGTACTGTTAATAATTTGTTAATAATATGCTACTTACATTCTACTGATTGATGTGGCTGTGATAACTGAAAGATGCTATAATAACCATAACTTTGATTTTTTTTTTTTTTTATAGGAGAGGGGGCAAACGAGCATGCGGCTCACCTGATGACTACCGCCGCCCATGAACAACTGCAACACCAGGGGAATCGCAGATGCGTTGCCGGCCTTTTAAAAAGGAGTACGCTCTTTTCTTGAAGGTCCCTAAGTCGTATCGGTCCGGAAAAATCGCTGATGGTAATCGATTCCACAAGGAGGTCGTGCGAGGAAGAAAACATCTTCTAAATCGCACAGTGGTGGACCGCCAATCATCCAGATGGTGTGGATGGTATCGGGAGTTCTGCCGCGATGTGCGTTCGTGAAATTTGGCGGCTGGGATTAATCCGAACAATTCCTCAGAGCACTCCCCATGGTAGATGCGAAAGAAAATGCAAAGGGATGCAACATCTCTTCGCAGTGCCAATGAATCGAGCCGATCGGAAAGGGCTCGGTCGTCGACAATTCGAGCCGCTCTGCGTTGGATGCAGTCAAGTGGAAGGAGCTGGCACTGGGGAGCCCCTGCCCAGAGATGGGAACAGTATTCCATGTGAGGCCGAACTTGCGCCTTGTAAAGTAGCAGGCGGTGTGCCGGCATGAAATACTGTCCCGCTCTGCTGAGCACGCCAAGCTTTTTAGAGGCCAATTTGGCCTTCCCTTCCAAGTGACCACGAAACTGCACGTCACTCGATATGTCGACTCCGAGGATACCGATACTGGCTGAGGCAAGAAGGGGAGTGCCTTAAAACTGAGGAGATACGACAAAGGGGTTCTTTTTAGCGGTAAACGCGCAAACTTGTGTCTTCTGAGGATTAAATTGGACTAGATTTAGTCGCCCCCAATCCGAGACTTTGTTCAGCAAAGACTCGACTTCAGACACAAGTTTGTTCCGGTACTCAGCGACGTTTTCCCGAGAAATATTGGCACGGCCGGTGTATAGAGCATCACCAGTGCTGTCATCCGCATAGCAATGAATGTTACCAATTAGCAACATATCATTGATATGCAGAAGAAACAGCGTTGGTGATAGCACACAGCCTTGTGGAACACCAGCGTTAATAGGCTTGTAGTCAGAGCATGCACCGTCTACAACGACCTTGATGCTCCGATCTACAAGGAAGCTGGTGATCCAATTGCACAATTTCTCGGGAAGCCCATAGGAAGGGAGCTTCGAAAGAAGCGCTTTGTGCCAAACCCGATCGAAGGCCTTCGCAATGTCCAGACTAACGGCCAACGCCTCCCCCTTGGACTCTACTGCCTCCGCCCATCTATGGGTCAGGTAGACCAGAAGATCACCAGCTGATCGACCCCGACGAAAACCGTATTGGCGGTCACTAATCAGCTGGTGATCCTCAAGGTACCGGATGAGCTGGCAGTTAATAATGGATTCCATTATTTTGGAGCCGAAGGAGGTGATCGCGATAGGCCTATAGTTGGATGGGTCTGAGCGGTCGCCTTTTTTAGGGATCGGGTGGACAAAAGCTGTCTTCCATGAATTCGGGACTACGCCTTGGGAGTAGGAGTACCGGAAAAGACGCGTTAGGACCGGTGCCAACTCCGGAGCACACGTCCTCAGCACAATTGGGGGGATTCCGTCAGGCCCACTCGACTTCTGGATGTCCAGGGAGAGCAGTGCTTTGCGAACCCAGCGCTGTGAGAACAGCACATCCGGCATGGAGCACTCACACCGCGGGATGGTCGGCGGTGTTTTCCCCCCGTCATCAAGAGTCGAGTTGGACGCAAAAAGGGAGCCTAAAAGGTCGGCTTTGTCTTTTGCGTCATGGGCCAGTGAGTCATCCTCCCTGTGCAGAGATGGTAGTGATGGCTTACAGAAATTCCCTTGGACAGCCTTGGCGAGAGACCAGAATGCACGGGTTCCCGAAGGAAGGCGAACTAGTTTCTCGCCAATTCTGCCTATGTGCTCTGACTTTGCCTTGGCAATAACTCTTTTGAAGGACCTGGAGGCGAAGTTATACTTCTTTTTAAGTGTGCTGGTATTTACATCCCGAGTCGCCGAAGCCGCAGCCCAGGCTTGATAACACTCCTGCTTACTGCGTAATGCAGTCTTACAGGAGCGACCAAACCAAGGCTGAGATCTGCCTCCGATGGGTACCACAGATGATGGAATAAATAGTTCCATTCCCTGTAGTACCACATCAGTGACAGAGTCAGCAACAGCGCTGGGATCATCCGGCGAGAAGCAAACCCGCCCCCATGGGTAGGATGCAAAGAAGGACCGCATTCCGTCCCAATCCGCCGACCTGTAATGCCAAACACGGCGCCAACCTGCAGAACGCAACCGCGAAGGGAGCGTGAGTGGCACCACACTCCGGATCAGACAATGGTCCGAAGAGCCGAGAGGGGCATCGACGGAAACCAGATATCCGTCCGGATGAGAGGTCAGCAGAAGGTCCAACAGGGAAGGTGTATGATCCTCCACATCTGGAATCCGCGTAGGCGAAGTAACCAGTTGTGTCAGACCATATGCCAAGGCAAAGTCATAAACAGATCTCCCCGCATGATCGGTTAGACGTGAACCGAGCCATTCGGCATGGTGGGCGTTAAAATCGCCAAGGATCACGATCTCTGCGGATGGGACCTGTTGTAGCAAGAAATCTGTAGCCATTTGGACGTGGTCGATGAGTCGGTCTGTTTCGGCATTACCGCTATGGGACCTATAGAGGCACCCGTAGACGCGCGGATGGTCGTCGCTGTCTACGCGTAGCCAAAGGATGGACAGGTCCGAACCTTCAAGACTGCCGAGGCGTCGAGAACAGATGTCCTCTCTGACATACACGCAAACTCCAGCCCGAGGCACAAAGGAATGCTCCAATTTGTACCCCGGGTAGGAGAGATACGAAATATCAGCCGGAGAGGAAACCTGCGTCTCGGTCAGAAAGAGCAAGGCCGGCTTCGCCGTCTCGAGATGGTAGTGGACGGCGTTTAGGTTAGAGTGAAGTCCCCTGATGTTGCAGAAATTCACGGATAGTGGCAGGGGTCGCCTTGGTGTTCTTGCTCAGTTTGCCCCTAGCAGTAATGCTTTTGAGCGGAATTTTGCCCCCCCCCAGAATACGCGGGGCAGCCTGAGCACCCACGCTCAGGATCGGAATAACATGGTCGTGGATGCTCAGCGAGGGATTCTCCAGGGGTGCTGGTACCCTCCTGGGGTAGTTCTTCGTGTAATTCCACTACCATGTTGATGGGGGGGGGGGGGGGGGAATTGGGCCTCCGGCCACCTGCACTCACCAGACGAAACGCAGAAGCAAAGCTTCTACTTCACGCCGGTATTCTATGAGGTCGTGGTACCAACCCGGCTCGAGCCGGCCCATACATGCAACAGCAAAAACTGCTGCGTGGCTCTACCACCGTAAATAGATAGACAGCTTCTAATATTAAGACGACTAAGTAAATATGTCATCCTAAACTTGGTTAGTTTATTTCACGATGCTCACGTGTTACCAACATAAGAGAAGGAACGAACGCGATTCACGGTGAGTAAACGCGAATCGAAAGGTTAGCTTCGATTGTAACACACACTCGCTTGTCTTCACTTGTCGATAGGTATGACGTTATCTCGGTTAACGCGATGGTGAAGTCATTCGAATTATTTTGTGGAACTCGCACTAGGCACACAGAACTCAAAAAGTCGTGATAAATGGTAAAGGTTCCTCCGGATGGTAGTATCAATGGCCGTTCTTCAGGGCTCGATTCTTAGCCCATTCCTGTTCTTAATCTATATTAATAACTTACCTTATCTTGTAGGGGACAATCACGATATAGTATTGTTTGCTGACGATACCTCTTTAATTTTGAAACTCAAACGGCAGTCAATTAATTATGACGATATAAATAATGCTCTATCGAAATTGGTACATTAGTTTAACGCTAACAATTTGCTCTTAAACGGCAATACGACAAAATGAATTAAATTTACAACACCTAATGTAAAACCTTCGAAAACCAATGTGCTCTTAAATGGGGAGAAGTTGAGTCTTGTGGATACTACTGTTATTCTTGGTATTACTATTGACGCGAAACTTCAATGGGGCCCCCGTATATCTAAATTAGCAGGCAAACTTAGTTCTGCAGCATATACTGTAAAAAATATTAGAAGTCTCACAGAAGTTGAGACAGCTAGATTAGTGTATTTTAGTTACTTTCATAGCGTAATGTCTTATGGAATTTTGCTATGGGGTGATGCGACTGGTATTGAAGCTATATTTGTTTTGCAAAAAAAAGCCGTACGGGCGATTTATAACCTAAATTGTAAAGAGTCCCTCAAACAAAAATTTAAAGAAATAAACATTAACTTTGGCACCGTAATATATTTATGAAAATGTAATGTATGTACATAAAAACATAAACAGCTTTAATAAGAATAAAGATGTTCATACCTTAAACACTAGGAACAAAAGCTTGTAATGCCAGTTACTAGACTCCACAGAATTAGTAATTAATTAATGGGGCAATGTATATTGTATACCCTTTTACAACAAAATCCCAGAACATGTTCAAAGTTTGTCAATAAACAAGTTTAAAAGTTTTATTAAAGAAAAACTGTACAAAAAGGGTTATTATAATATCAAGGAATACATGAATGAAAATAACCCCTGGGAATAAGGTCATCGCCACCATGCTGGTTCTATGAAAATACATTAAAAATTGTATAAACAAAATTATTGTAAAGTGAAATTATGTTTAAAAAATAGTCCCGCTGGGTTTCTTGCTGGTTCTTCCCAGGACAGAGGTATTTTCCGAACCAGTGGTAAATAAAAAATTACTTTCAATAAGTATTATGTAATAATCAATATTGAATAAAAAAATATTCTATTCTAATGAGACGAATGCAGAGTATCACGGGTAGGATAATTACAGATTTTATTTATTATGACATTGTTACCAAGTTTAAAAAATATTTTACATTTTATTCCGCATAATATCATCATCATCATCATTACAGCCCTTCACAAGTCCACAGCTGAACATAGGCCTCCCCCAAAGAATGCCACAAAGTATTTTACATTTACATACAAAAAATATTTTACATTTTATTCCGCATAATATATTACATTACAAATTATACAGACTCATAGTTTTTAATTTCATTAGAAACAGAAACTTTTTTATTCAATATAGATTATAGATAATACTCATTGAAAGTCACTCTTTTGTTTAATTACCACTGGTTCGAAAAAAAAACTCTGTCCTGGGAAGAACCAACAAGAAACCCAGCGGGACTTTTTTTTAAATAACAGCTTACAATCATGTATGTTACACAAATCAACAACACAGCAAATTAGAAATAGCTTGGTGGCGATCACGTCATTTCCAGGGGTTATTATCATCCATAAATTCTTTAATATTATAATAACCCTTTTTATACAAACTTAGTTTAATAAAGTTTTTGAATTTTGAGCAGGTCAAATTTTGTATATTTATCCTAAGTACATACATCACATAGAAGATAGAATACTTAACAAGTTGAAACAAGCCTGAATTCAATAAAATATCTTGTAATAAAAATATCTTTATTATTGTGACGTAAGCAATTGCAAATTCGAATATAGAGATATAAAAATCAAATGCTGTCCATTAGTCTCGCTAAAACTCGGAACTGTCGCAATGGATTCAGATGAAGTTTTTTGTGTGTGTTTAAGTGGGTCCCTGGATAAAGTTTATATTCACAATTGGACCCGGTAGCTGGGAGCTATTATCGAGATCCAGAAATCATCCGTGGGAATCTAGGGCAGATCGCTAGTTTAGTATAAATTATATAACAAAATACAATTGACATTTTTAGCGCGTTTTTATTAACTCGCTTTCATGTATATCTTGTTCATGTCGAACTTAGTAATCAATTTTAAAATAACTTCCCGATAAGCTAGTGACTTCAAAATTTTGAACATAGCTCATAGAAATAAAAAAACGTGGTATGGTAATTTTATCACAGACACAATTATTAAATATAATAATTGGTGGTGGTTTAATACAACTAAATGGTTCAATAAAATGCTTATCAATGACTTACCTGGGTGAGGTACTGCTTCCTCTGGTGCCAGGCCTGGTCGAGGCTGGTGGCCAAGTTGGCGACGCGCTTCTTCTTCTCCGGCTGATTAGAGCTCTCCGCCTCCTTCAGGAGAGACGCTATCGTCTTCTGTCGGCCGTCTATCTCCGCCTGCAGAAAGATGAGAGTGAGTTTCAAAGAACAATGGCAGACTTTCATACATAAAATTAGTTGAGAAAGAATGGTAGCATCTATATATCAAAAATATCCTTAAAAAAAAGCGTCAGTCTCTTAATAATTCTGTCAAAGAATTTTGTCCTGAGAAGGCGTCAAAAAAATGATATTTAGATTTGAACCTTTTAAGGTTATGTCTTATGTCACTTGGAAAAAGTGGTGCGTCCTGTGGTTGTTTGGTGTTAGCTTAATACCTTCTCAACATAATGTACCTACCTACATAATTGAGAGTTTTTAGATTATTGTAACTCTATTATATATTTGCATACTATAAATGTATATTTCTGGCCTGGCTCCAGGGCCTTTGTGTCATACAGTGACACTCTCAGAAGGGTTAGAACCCAGAGCTGTAAAGCCAGTAAAAAAAACAGTGACATTTTGTTTTAGCTAGTGTTTCCATAACATTAAATGGAAATGTTACATATTACTATGATTGAGATAATATATTATTGAAGGAAGTTCTTTGTAAGAGATTTATTTTCAACTATATCACTTTTATTTTTATTATTACTGATACATAGAATAGTTCTTATTAATAATAACTTAATATAAAAATATTTTGTGTTTGTGTGTTGTGTTGGTAGTCTTACAAAGTGTATACGAAAATAGTATGAATATAGTAAATAGCAACATTTGAATAGAGTAAAAGGATTTAAGTCATGTGATAGTCCCATAAATGTTTGTTTTTTTCTGTGGCTTTAATTAAAATACATTTTTATTTGATAAATCTTGATTTATATTAAGTTATTATTAAGAAGAACTATTCTATGTATCAATAGAATAGTTCTTATTAATAATAACTTAATATAAAAATATTTTGTGTTTGTGGGTTGTGTTGGTAGTCTTACAAAGTGTATACGAAAATAGTATGAATATAGTAAATAGCAACACTTGAATAGAGTAAAATGATTTAAGTCATGTGATAGTCCCGTAAATGTTTGTTTTTTTCTGTGGCTTTAATTAAAATACATTTTTATTTGATAAATCATAGAAAAATAATAAAACTCATTTTATATATAACTTATTTCTAGACGCAATAATTTTTGTCAACTATTTTTCTGCCATTGCCCCTTACTATTTATGGCTTGAATACCAATTAGCAATAGCCGTATTATGGTGGCATGTGGGAATCACCAATCCTACATCACCACGTGTGTGTCGTAAGAGACGACAGAGGGAAATTGAAACAGGAGATGGGTAGCATCTTCCTCATAATAACACGAAATAATCAAACACTGCGGTTGCCAACTCCCCTGCCAAGAGTTGACGTGGGTAAAGCCATGTTGCAGATATATTATGGTTGTAGCACATGATTTCGACTCGAAGGACCACTTTCTCACAGAATACTATCGTGGTATAAGCTTAATGTTGCTATGTTTCGTATGGTGAGTGTAGAGAACCGGAAACCCAATGTGTGGTGTAGATGTCTATGAGATATCAGGTGGAATGTGTGCTCGTTTTGTGTCTTTTTTTATAGAAAAACCTTGAGTGACCTTTCTTCTATAATAAAAAGCGTGGCAACTATAGCAAACATCTTTGATTCCAGACTTTGATAGGTTGTTTTATTGAAAATACCAATTGCTAAAGTTTTGAAACGGCTGATATCTAAAAGTACATTTAAAGAGGTCAATGAACAAAAAGAAAAAGTTAAAGCTGTAAGAAACTGGATTAGATGTTGCTATGTAAGGGTAGTCTAATTACCGTTAAGTCACTTTGGTTAATAAGGCTACTTTAACCTAACAGAAACAGAAACAGAAACACAAACTTTTTTATTCAATATAGATTATAAATAATACTTATTAAAAGTCACTCTTTTGTATAATTACCACTGGTTCGAAAAAAACCTCTGTCCTGGGAAGAACCAGCAAGAAACCCAGCGGGACTTTTTTTTTAAATAACAGCTTACAATCATGTATGTTACACAAATAAACAACACAACAAATTAGAAATGGAGCCGATCGGAAAGGGCTCGGTCGTCGACGATTCGAGCAGCTCTGCGTTGGATACGGTCAAGTGGAAGGAGCTGGCACTGGGGAGCCCCTGCCCAGAGATGGGAACAGTATTCCATGTGAGGCCGAACTTGCGCCTTGTAAAGTTGCAGGTGGTGTGCCGGCATGAAATACTGTCCCGCTCTGCTGAGCACGCCAAGCTTTTTAGAGGCCAATTTGACCTTCCCTTCCAAGTGACCACGAAACTGCACGTCACTCGATATGTCGACTCCGAGGATACCGATACTGGCTGAGGCAAGAAGGGGAGTGCCTTGAAACTGAGGAGATACGACAAAGGGGTTCTTTTTAGCGGTAAACGCGCAAACTTGTATCTTCTGAGGATTAAACTGGACTAGATTTAGTCGCCCCCAATCCGAGACTTTGCTCAGCAAAGACTCGACTTCAGACACAAGTTTGTTCCGGTACTCAGCAACGTTTTCCCGAGAAATATTGGCACGGCCGGTGTATAGAGCATCACCAGTGCTGTCATCCGCATAGCAATGAATGTTACCAGTTAGCAACATATCATTGATATGCAGAAGAAACAGCGTTGGTGATAGCACACAGCCTTGTGGAACACCAGCGTTAATAGGCTTGTAGTCAGAGCATGCACCGTCTACAACGACCTTGATGCTCCGATCTGCAAGGAAGCTGGTGATCCAATTGCACAATTTCTCGGGAAGCCCATAGGAAGGGAGCTTCGAAAGAAGCGCTTTGTGCCAAACCCGATCGAAGGCCTTCGCAATGTCCAGACTAACGGCCAACACCTCCCCTTGGACTCTACTGCCTCCGCCCATCTATGGGTCAGGTAGACCAGAAGATCACCAGCTGATCGACCCCGACGAAAACCGTATTGGCGGTCACTAATCAGCTGGTGATCCTCAAGGTACCGGATGAGCTGGCAGTTAATAATGGATTCCATTATTTTGGAGAACAAGGAGGTGATCGCGATAGGCCTATAGTTGGATGGGTCTGAGCGGTCGCCTTTTTTAGGGATCGGGTGGACAAAAGCTGTCTTCCATGAATTCGGGACTACGCCTTGGGAGTAGGAGTACCGGAAAAGACGCGTTAGGACCGGTGCCAACTCCGGAGCACACGTCCTCAGCACAATTGGGGGGATTCCGTCAGGCCCACTCGACTTCTGGATGTCCAGAGAGAGCAGTGCTTTGCGAATCGAGCGCTGTGAGAACAGCATATCCGGCATGGAGCACTCACACCGCGGGATGGTCGGCGGTGTTTTCCCCCCGTCATCAAGAGTCGAGTTGGACGCAAAAAAGGGAGCCTAAAAGGTCGGCTTTGTCTTTTGCGTCATGGGCCAGTAAGTCATCCTCCCTGTGCAGAGATGGTAGTGATGGCTTACAGAAATTCCCTTGGACAGCCTTGGCGAGAGACCAGAATGCACGGGTTCCCGAAGGAAGGCGAACTAGTTTCTCGCCAATTCTGCCTATGTGCTCTGACTTTGCCTTGGCAATAACTCTTTTGAAGGACCTGGAGGCGAAGTTATACTTCTTTTTAAGTGTGCTGGTGTTTACATCCCGAGTCGCCGAAGCCGCATCCCAGGCTTGATAACACTCCTGCTTACTGCGTAATGCAGTCTTACAGGAGCGACCAAACCAAGGCTGAGATCTACCTCCGATGGGTACCACAGATGATGGAATAAATAGTTCCATTCCCTGTAGCACCACATCAGTGACAGAGTCAGCAACAGCGCTGGGATCGTCCTGCGAGAAGCAAACCCGCCCCCATGGGTAGGATGCAAAGAACGAGCGCATTCCGTCCCAATCCGCCGACCTGTAATGCCAAACACGGCGGCAACCTGCAGAACGCAACCGCGAAGGGAGCGTGAGTGGCACCACACTCCGGTGTGCCTAGTGCGAGTTCCACAAAATAATTCGAATGACTTCACCATCGCGTTAACAGAGATAACGTCATACCTATCGACAAGTGAAGACAAGCGAGTGTGTGTTACAATCGAAGCTAACCTTTCGATTCGCGTTTACTCACCGTGAATCGCGTTCGTTCCTTCTCTTATGTTGGTAACACGTGAGCATCGTGAAATAAACTAACCAAGTTTAGGATGACATATTTACTTAGTCGTCTTAATATTAGAAGCTGTCTATCAAAGTTGTGGTTATTATAGCATCTTTCATATACTTTGACAGTTTGTGTTTGTTGTGAACTTACGATTTATTTATTTTAATTGAAAATATTAAATTATAATTATAAGTAAAAAAAGAAGAAGACTAGTTCGTCCCAATTCGATTTGATGGTGACATTTATGGAGCAGTAAGTTGAATTTAATTTATTTAGTGTTTAGGGAACATATTAATATGTTGTTGTATATTTTGTAACTAAGTTTATTGGTTTTAGGCATGGAGATCTCAGCAAACCATCCAATAACAATAATGCAAGAGGTAGGATGGCTTGTATAAAAACTACAGTAAAGTAAATATTTAAAAAAGGCTGCTCGTCTACATAAAGCAGCTAGAGGTACTGGTGGTGGGCCTGCTACACATGTTAAATTGACAGATTTGGAACAAAGAGTCCTAAATCTGATTGGTGTACAAGTAGCTACGGGCTTGGCAGTTGAAGAGGCTGGGTTGTCACAGGTTACAACTTTAACTTAAATTAAACCACCTGCTTGTAGGTTATATTATCTCATAAATTGTATTTTCTTTCAGGGGACTTATGTTCAGGCTAATCCCACAGTGAATCTTGAACAAGGAATACTACCACAACCACATCAATCAGTAGAATGTAAGTAGCATATTATTAACAAATTATTAACAGTACATATTATATTATATTAACAATGTTTATTTTTTTATTTTAGGTACTTCACAACCTGCTTAGGAAAATATTGCCCCACAATTGCCCCAAACACTGCCAAGGCCTATATCTTCACCATCTCTTGCCTTTGCAGAGGAAGTTCAAAGTAATATATAACTTACTTATTAGACAGTATAAAATCTTCAGGCTAGTAGTACTGAGTTTGTTCCGGGAATCAAACCCAAAAATTCTTGCTTGGCAGCAGCACTTGGAACCACTAAACCACGTATTGTGTGTGTGTAAGTCTTCTTTCTCCGAATAAATTAAAAGTAATAAAATATACATGAGCCACTCAATGTACACTCAAGTAGTTAAATATGAATAAATCTTACTTATAGATAAAAATTACATTAATTTTATAAATTTACAAGCCAACTTGTCTGTCTTTTTGGTTCTTGTACACAACTACTAAGTATATTGATTTTGTTGAAAGTTTCATTTATATTTTTCATATTTAAGGTTCTCAATCTTGGAACGACCCAGGGCCATCAACACAACCTCATGTTGTCTCAGCAAATACTGTGACATCTCCGCTTATTTCATTTGTGGAGGTACTAATGGAAAGTAAGATAGAACTAATTATTCATGAAGGTGATAATTTTAAATAAATTTGAAATTATTACAGATACGGGCATGCTCACTCCAACTATGATCTCATCTCAAGTCCAAGAAAGTCAACCAGGGCCTGCTTTGTCGGGGCAAACTACACCTTGCCGTGCAAGACCAATTCGTACTCGAGGATCACCTCGAAGACGAGTGAGGCCAGCACACACAGAGCAGGCAGCACAATAGTTTCTCCAAGCCAAAGAACACTGGAAACTTTTTTTTTATAGGACAGGGTGACAAACGAGCACACAGTCCACCTGATGGTAAGTGGTTGCTGTGGCCCATAAACATCTACATCTATCCTCGCTTGTGAATCAAAATGCAGATGCGTTGTCACCCGTGAGCACTAAGATAGAATGCCTCTTTTCCAGTAAAAAGGGACTCCGGTTCTCTACACTCACCATACGAAACACAGCAGTGTTAGGCTGCTATTTTACGCTGGTAGTCTGTGAGAGCGTGGTCCTTCCCTGGTCGAGCCGACCCATTCGTGCTACAACTATACTATTAATATAGCTAGAGCATAGTTCTACAAAATAATTTAGATTACTTTTCTGTTCTGTTTCAATGTTCTTGTAATTGTTAAATTGTTGTATTAAGTTGTAATTGTAATTATTTAATTAAATTTGTGATAAAATTTAAGGCTGGTTATAAATAAAAGAAAGATTTAAGCTTATTCAAATTTATTTATTTAATCCCTATAGTAACCTTCTTGCTAATTGATCTCTTATTCTACCTCTAATTAAATCAGAGGTAGCTTCTCTTACTGTGTAACTTATTTGATCAGATTCCACCATTCTCCTTTCAAATTGCAGACCTAAAAATAAATCATAATTAATACAAATATTAAGTTTACTATTTATAAGTTAGCTTAATATATTATAGTAATTCAATTTAAAATTAAGATACCTACCTATATTTTCCTCTGTATCCTCAACACCAAAACTAATAATTATATTATGTAACACAGAGCATGCTAAAATAATGTGTGCACATTTTACGGGCTTGTAGTGCAAAACTCTATCCTTGTGCAGACATCGCCATCGATTTTTCAGCCTTGAAAATGTGTTTTCAATAAAACCTCGAGCTCTCATGTGTTTTTCATTATAATTATTGGACTCAGCGTCTAAAAATGGTGTCATAAGCCATGGGCGTTGGGGATATCCAAAATCTCCTAGAGTTAAAATATACATGTTATTGTCAATAATATAGATAGAAATTATTTAGTAATGTTTTACTTAAAAATACTTCATATAACTCAAAACATCCCAATAAGTTATACTGTGGATATATTACCTAAAAGCCAGACAATTTCTCCATTTTGGTGCAAAGATTGCACGTATGTGTTTAAGTTACTGTTTTCCCATATAAAGGAATCATGATTTGCTTGGGACTCACATTTAAAATTCTATATTCATCATCACATACCTGAAAAGAAGACATTTTGTTTATTTTCTACCCCTTTTTAACCAAGGAATAATAAAAAATAAAAAAAACATATTTCCTGTAAAAACTGAATTTTAAAATAAATATTAACCGAATCTAATGAATAATTTGCATAAGGTTGTTTAAAGATAAGCATATATTTATTACCATTGACTAACTGCTTGTCTAGCAGCTGGAGTATCAGGGAACCGAATATATTTATTTATTATATTTTTGTGTGTCGGCTCCTGGGTAACTTCTTCTATGTACACACTACACATTTTTTGAGACGTGTCCTTTGCAACCCCAACTGGCCTTTGGTAGGATCCAGTTGCAAAAAATAATAGAGCAGTGAGCACCTGCAATTAAAAAGAGAACAAACTTATATTTAAACTTGCACTTGTTTTAAACTTGAGTTGCAAAAATGTGAATACTTTAATGATCGATACATACTTTATGTTCCAAGGAAACGCGTTGAGAGGACCTAAGATTTGTCAAACTCCTTAGCTCTTTACACAAAAACTTGAAGACTTTCTTGGAAATGCGATATCTATCTTTAAATTGCTTCCCCGTGAGGTGTAACAAAGGGTTGAAAGATGCACGAGCTCTTCTTTCAACATTGGCGTTATAATTGCGGTCATCTTGTGCCTTAGCGGCTGCAAACATCCTCCATGCGAAAAAAAACGTCCTGCCATAATTAAATATTGTTCACACAAAACGAAATAAAATTAAACCTTCAACAATCGTTCTCACTATGCTTTCTCACTGTCAAAATTTAGGTGAAAACTTTTTCGATATCGACGGCGTAAAGTTTGTTTATGTTATGATCAAATCGGCGCTCGCACTCGCAAAATACTTGAAACAACCAATCACGTGCGTTTACGTTCTCACTGTCGAATGCGAGTGAATGCTCGATGGTCGATATCGACGACGTAATAAACTCGCACTCATGAATTGTGATTCCGATTATTGCCACTAGTTGGCGCTGATTTTATTCCATACAAATTGTAGTTAACTTTCTCGGTATCGAACGCGTAAAAAAACTCGCACTAGGCACACGGATCAGACAATGGTCCGAAGAGCCGAGAGGGGCATCGACGGAAACCTGATATCCGTCCGGATGAGAGGTCAGCAGAAGGTCCAACAGGGAAGGTGTATGATCCTCCACATCTGGAATCCGCGTAGGCGAAGTAACCAGTTGTGTCAGACCATATGCCAAGGCAAAGTCATAAACAGATCTCCCCGCATGATCGGTTAGACGTGAACCGAGCCATTCGGTATGGTGGGCGTTAAATTCGCCAAGGATCACGATCTCTGCGGATGGGACCTGTTGTAGCAAGGAATCTGTAGCCATTTGGACGTGGTCGATGAGTCGGTCTGTTTCGGCATTACCGCTATGGGACCTATAGAGGCACCCGTAGACGCGCGGATGGTCGTCGCTGTCTACGCGTAGCAAAAGGATGGACAGGTCCAAACCTTCAAGACTGCCGAGGCGTCGAGAACAGATGTCCTCTCTGACATACACGCAAACTCCAGCCCGAGGCACAAAGGAATGCTCCAATTTGTACCCCGGGCAGGAGAGATACGAAATATCAGCCGGAGAGGAAACCTGCGTCTCGGTCAGAAAGAGCAAGGCCGGCTTCGCCGTCTCGAGATGGTAGTGGACGGCGTTTAGGTTAGAGTGAAGTCCCCTGATGTTGCAGAAATTCACGGATAGCGTGGCAGGGGTCGCCTTGGTGTTCTTGCTCAGTTTGCCCCTAGCAGTTATGCTTTTGAGCGGAATTTTGCCCCCCCCCAGAATACGCGGGGCAGTCTGAGCACCCACGCTCAGGATCGGAATAACATGGTCGTGGATGCTCAGCGAGGGATTCTCCAGGGGTACTGGTACCCTCCTGGGGTAGTTCATCGTGTAATTCCGCTACCATGTTGATGGGGGGGGGGGGGGGGAATTGGGCGTGGCTCTACCACCGTTAAAATTCTTTAATATTATAATGACACTTTTTATACAAACTTAGTTTAATAAAGTTTTTGAACTTTGAGCAGGTCAAATTTTGTATATTTTCTGGAATTTTGTTGTAAAAGCGTATACATCACCCCAAGAATGAATTACTGACTCGATGGAGTCGAGTAACTGGTACTACTAGCTTGTGTCTGTTCCTAGTATTTACAGAATGTATCTAAAGAATGAGGATCTATCACCCCATTTTATTCCATGGTTGTCGTAAGAGGCAACCATAAAAAAACAACATGATCTAAACTTCCGATAGATGGCGATTTAACTATCTTGTTAACGCCACACGTAAAATACTTAGACCGGTGACAGCCAAGTCAAAGGTGCTTACGTCTGGTACTGAAACCGGCCAAGCGTAACGAATATGACAAATCCTCTGTATAACGGAGGAAGCCCATGTCTAGCAGTAGACTTTCACAGGCTGATGAAGAAGAACCCCATCAAAGAACCTGTACTTTTTTTATAGAATAATGGTGACAAACGAGCACACTCGATTAAGATTCAAAGTGCATGTAACGTACCTTTTTCTCATTGTGCAGTTCCAACAGTGCCTCGGCGTCAGAGACAGTTGCCGGTGCTTCGGTACTATCCAAACGCTTCACTGTTTCCGACACCCAAAGATTCAACTCCTGGAAATGACATCATACGTTACTTTACGTTAAACAATAAATATAGGTCCTAGAGTTGGACGAAGATCTCATCTTACTTCTGAGACGGTTGACAATCATTACTTTATCGCGCCGATTCAAGCCATCTTGACGGTTTTTATATGTACCCGAAATATTTTTAATTTTATTTTTCATGTAGGTTTCCTTACGATGCTTTCTCATCGTCAAGCACGTAACAGGTTGACTATTCCATATTCCAAATGTCAAATATAAAAAAGCATAAAAAAGGAAAGACAACGTTCTGTTTGCCAGACAAGACCCAAGAGATCCAGCAGTGGACTGCTCAAGAGTTGATGTAGAAGGTGCTTTGATCTGATCCCGTTATCCTATTCCCTTGTCGTGTAAAATGACTACCGATATTCTCCCAAACGCATGTTAGAAACACAATTACAATTTTTCATTTTAAAATATAGAAAATAATGAACTGACAATCATATTTTAGTCCAATTTATCACGGATTTGAAAAATACCACTGTGCAGGGAAAATCAACAAGAAACCCTTTTTTATGAAATAAAAAAAGCAGTTAACAATTATGAATTATGTTGTACAATAATTATACAAATAATTTAAGAAATAACTTGGTTAGCGTTCACTTGACTCCCAGGGATTATAGTGTTATTATAATGACCTTGAGACTCTCCTCGAATTTGTGTTCGGCGATGGCTTCATCTAGCATCGTGGTCCGCTTGGCAGCGAGTTGCTGTAAGTTGCTCCAAACCGCGACCAGCTTCTTCAGGTTCGTTTCGATCTCCTTCGCGCTGTTCGGGTGGCTGGCGGCGAGTTGGTCTCCGGCGCGGCGCAGTTCCCGCAGGCGGTCCGCGACGGCTCCAGCCTCCGCCCAGCGCGCGAGATGCTTCTGCCGCAACTCCTCGGCCGCGCTGAGCTCTCTCCTGCGCTCCGAGCTGCTGAATAGCGCCGCATTTTTCGCGATGCGCTCCATCGTCTTCTCCACGTCCCTGTACAAAATCATAATTCTACATTAGAACAGTGCTGTGGTATTAAATAAAACCAGTTTTAAAGATTTCAACGCGTTTTTATTAACTTATTTTGTATTCCCGACGTTTCGAGTACTTTATTACAGCATCCATGGCCAGGGGGGACTGAGGTGTTCGACGTTCTTTATGTTATACCTTCGAACGTCATAATCACAGTTTAAAATTATTAATATTTTTTTAAATACATTTTTGGTTTGATCTACGTGTTCACACACTGCAGACTGTGAACACAAACAGAGCTTTGTTAGTTTTGTTTAATTAAGATTGTGTTAGTGAATGTGTGCAAGATACGGAGAGGGGATAGGAATAAAATCAGTAACTAACAGTGTATTCGTAGAATAATACGAGTAACTGACATAACGTAGTCAAGTAGTACGCCGTTACAGCTGAAATAAATATTTAACTGTCATAACATATACATAGCATCACGCCTGTAATTCTCGAGGAGTTGGACAGACTTTAAAGGACAATGAACTATTCAGATTTTATTTAGTTTTAAAATATGGGTTTAGATGGATAATCGAGAAAGAAGTGGTAGGTGGCTATCCTATTGCTTACACAAACATAAACCTAATATCCCATTAGTCTTCTTGTATGACATGTTTGTCAAGTAACACAGTTAACACATTATATTCGTCCCAAGTCCCATGGGACTTGGGACAAAGCATGGGGTTCAGAGCAGAACAAAGTGGGCACACTACTAGTTAGAAACAGAACTAGGTGAGAGGGTGGTACCTATCTTTAGGGGTCAGCAGTATTGTAGAATATCGGCCGACCAAGATGGTTGATAAGTAGCGGTATCGCTCATATGATGTAACAATCATATTATGATTGATACCATGTTGTTGACTTTTGGACCGCCCGGCGCAGGAGAGGTAGTGTAGGAAGGTAGAAGGTGGGGGCTATCTGTTGAAGCAGTGCAGCAGGAGCGCGGCGTCGAGGCGCTCGCGGTAGGCGTGCAGCGCTCCACTGAGCGCCCGCCAGCGCGCCAGCACAGCATCGCGCCGCGCCGCCACGCCGCCCGCGCCACCGCCCGCCCCGCCGCCCGCGGACGCCGTGGGGCCCTGCCGCAGCAGACGCTCGGCCAGCGTGTCGAGCGCGCGCAGGCGGCGGTCGTCCACCTTCATGTCGCTGTCCAAGTCGTCCAGCTTGCGCAGCAGCGCACTGCAGTGCTCGTAGTCGCACCCCAGCTCGTGCGCTTGCACCTGCACACGCACACACACATACACACACACACACGTTCATTATATATCACAAATGCAATGGTGACAAAAACAGTTCTCCTGGTGCTAAATAAAATCAAAATAAATACACAAAAATACAGAATATCAATTAAAATGCACTTACTTTATTATCTTAATGATTAGTCATTATAAGAGAGCAAAAATATACTAGAATACTATGTGTTACTGTTCGGAGCCCCACCTAATACACACCTGTTTCTATAATATGACTAAGATAAAAAAGCGTGTTTATTCAATATAGAAATATTAAATAATATAATACAAATAAAAATTATATATTTGCGTTACAAAGAGAAAATTAACAACTGGTTGCTGGGATCTCCTTAGCATATAAATACAACTGTATCAAAAATCTCCGCTCTTCTATCTTTTAACAATTACAATTAGGTCTTTGTAATACTTTTCTAAGGGCTAAATACTCAAACGCTACTCAATTTTAAAATGACATTAAGCCTCGTGCTGTCACAGTCACTTTGCCTTAAAGCGATAGAAACAGCACGAGACTTAACGACAACTTAAAATTAAGCGGCATTTGAGCATTTGAACAATAATAAAATTATTAAATTTTAACAAATAAGCCCGTACATATTTTTATGTTAGCGTAATCGGAACGCGCGTTTATTTACGATATCAATTAATTGAATTACATTGCACAATATTTTGTTTCATAGTAAATTCAGTACAGCATCCAACAATGTCAGTATTCGAGTGGGACACTTCAATACCATTCACTCTTGCGTTACATTGAATTACAAATTTGCATATTTATGCAAAAAAAGGATATTTACTCTCGCCTTCAAAGACAGACACTTGCAAATTATTTCACTCCTTTACTAAGCGCAGTACGAAAAATTAAGCAAACCCTTTAGTTGGAATGCGTTGAATACCGACAACAAATGAGTGTGACCAGGTCGACCGTTATGCAATGATGGAAAGAAGAGGCAGGAATAAAATCATGCTATTTCTGCGCACCTCTCCGGAATAATAATCTTGACTAATTATTATAGGTGCCAGTAAATAATTCCGGTCCTTCAAAACACAACACAGCACAACAACATTTTCTTGCCATTTCATGCTGGTATTTTCTGCGAGCGCAGTTCTTCCCCGGTCAAACTGATGCCTAAACCATTCATCTTACAAGCATAATAAAGCTGCAGTGTGGCTCAAGTCTATCACGTCTGACAGAAAACCAGCGCAAACTAGTAGCTTAATGCTGCTGTGTTTCGTATGGCGAATGTAAAGAACCGGAGACCTTTTTTACTGGAAACGAGGACATTCCACTCCGTCCAAAGGGGTAACAACGCATCTCCATTTTGATTCTTAAATGTAGATGTCTTTGGCCACGGCATACACTTACCATCAGGTGGTCGATTGACAATTTTTTTTTTTTATAGGATCGGGTGACAAACGAGCGCACAGTCCACCTGATGGTAAATGGTTACTGTGACCCATAGACATCTACATCTATCCTCAATAAAGACTCAAGATGCAAATGCGTTGTCACCCGTGAGGACTAAGGTGGAATGCCTCTTTGCCAGTAAAAAGGGTCTCCGGTTCTCTACACTCACCATACGAAACACAGCAGCGTTAAGCTGCTATTTTACGCTGGTTTTCTGTGAGAGTGTGGTCTTTCCCCGGTCGAGCCGACCCATTCGTGCTACAACCATAATATAGCTGCAGCATGGCTCTACCACGTAGAGGATTATTCTACGTATTATTCTACCAAAAAAATTAATACGCGGCTATTTGAGAGAGCAGCCCTTTCTCGATATGCATTTTTTTAAACTAAATATTAGTATTGTATAATTGGTGTGTTTGGTGCCATCAGAATGTCGATAATATTACCATCATTTCCTTGTCCCTGATCCAGGCTTCGATCTCGTCCACCTGTTGATTGAACTCTAAGATATCCTGAGCCTCTTCCAGTCCGCGACTTGTTGACAAAAAAATAATTAATGTCATTTTTATCATTCTTAGATTAACCGTTTTATTTTTTTACAAGATAATAGAATCAGGCGTTACTTTGCGGAAATCCATAATATTAAAGTTCGTAAAAATTACCTTGCTTACATCCGTTCGACAGAGGCGAAACACGTGTCGTATTGTCGTAAGTGGTGTGTCTTTCCTAGTGTAGTGGTGTTGGGATTAGTGGTGACGGTGATAGTGCACGCAATTGAGGGAGGGCGGGAGGTGCTCTTCAAACGAGGTAAGACACATCATTTTATTTTATCGAGCGGATGTACGAAAGGTAATTTTTAACAACTTTCATATTTTGTTACATTCCTGATTGTTAATGGATTTTGCATTATCATTGAAATAATCCTAATTTGAAGCAAGGTAAACAATGTAGAGGTAGTTTTATAAATATGCTATAAGACAATAAAAAAACTTTTGATACAAAAATAGTAATTATTTTTCTTGATTATGTAGCGAAAGATATTAAAGCAATGTATATGTTTTTCAGCTTCCTTAAAATATCTTGCTCGAAGGACCAAGTCTAAAAATAAGATCATAGCATACATAAAAATTGTTGAACGAATAAATAATAAATATATTAAAATTATGTACATTATACGTATATTATTTATTGTAATCATTATTATTTATCATAATATATTTATTATTTACTACATTATATAAGCCTTCTCACAAATGCATGTCTTAAAATTTAATAGTATGTTATGTAGATTTCACTAATTGGACCTTAACATCAGTGAATTTTTAGGTTACACTCATCGCATAATTTGCAAAGTCAGGTTGGGTTTGATTCACGCTGGCATCATGAATATGGTAAAAGTAGTTTTAAGTGCTATTTTATTACGTGATCGGCGGTGAAATAAAACATTGTGAGGAAAGTTAAAGTTTCAGACAAAAATGTAATTTATTTATAACTGGATACGTGAAGCTGAAGATCGGGCTGAGTATCGAACTTTAGAAGAGGCCTATGTCTAGATGTTTATGTATTAGACATGGATGTGGTGATGATAATGAAGAAACACAAATAAAATTAACCGTCAACACACACTGGAGTAAAGGTAGCGGATTAATTGTTCTATAACCTTTTCAGAAAATAAAGAAGAAATACGTGGCGTGGGACGTATATAGGCTGAAACTTTACCATATTCTTATTAATATGGTATTATTAAAAATATGGTAAAGTTTCAGCCCTATATATCAGTTTTAATAATTGGGTTAGTTGTATGTATATACTGAGGTCTTGTGGACTCACCTCTGTGTTCGGTAGTAGTCTCCAGTAGTTGCCAATCGTTCTGCAGCTGCTGCAACTGCTTCTTAACATCCTCGTCCGGGCTGAGCTGCTTAGCCAGTTCGTGGACCTCTTGCAGAAGAGCCTTATTGGCCGCTAATTCTGCAGTGAACGCTTGGTGCTTCTTCAATTTCTTTATCTTGTCCTCCAAGTCTGTGACTTTGCCTGGAAACATTCGGCAATATAAAAAATTCTAACGTCTTACATATCTGCCGTTATAGCAGTCCGAGCGCATTCCGCACTTTGGACAGAAAGTACAAGTAGATCGGTGGTACACATACGGAGGGCGGAGGTGCATACCTTGTTGTGTTGGGCAGCTGTGCCAGCTTGTCGGCCACCCAGGCGCCCACTGCGCACGCGCACGCGCTCGCTCCAAGCGCGCACGCCGCTCTGCACACGCTGCGTGCAGCTGTGTACAACCATAGTACGCGTTAACATTCACACAACAACAACTACAGTTGCCAAGCGTAGCAACTTCAGCAAAATCCTCCCTCTAAGGCGTAGATCGCCAATGTTCAGCAGTAGGCTTCGATAGGCTGTAATGTAGGCTGAAAACTTAGCTTTTAACGGTATCCAAGGTAATTTGAAAGATGGTTAAAATAATATTATGTGACAAATCGTAAACAAGCCTGTACGTAAATAATTTCAATAGTTACTTTAGTTTAAATATAGTATAAACTGTATGTTGACCATAATAAAAAAAATCTCTTTAGATTGGTACATAGACATAGTTTCATCTTCCAGTATTCCTTTCACTATCGCCAAAACACCTTTAGCCTAATTACGACTATAATGAGTATATGAGATGGGCATTCTGTTACATTACAAAATGGTAAAGGTATCACGCACCTGCTAGTTAGGGTAAAAGAGTAAACTACGGTCATTTTAGAAAGTAAGAAAGTTACGCTACCATTGCTGCATAGCTAAATACAGAATATGACAATAAATACCGAATAACGCCCAACACATTTACCATACTATAACACCTTGAGAGAGTTATTTGACTTCTATAATATTGCTATATTGCAAAATTAAACAAAACTTTATATTACTCTTATTACACATGAAACTTATCCTTAGTGCCTAGCACTCACCTTCTTCCTCCTAGCATTGATCTCCTGCAGCTCATCAGCAATGCACTGGCTCTCCACATGGTTCTGTTGCAATAGCTTATCACCGTGGTTGTTCAAAGTCGTCAGTTTTTCTTCCTAGAATTTATTCGTCTATATAATGCCTTTCATAAAACAACAATCGACTTCATTAATACGGTAAGTAATTTTTTTTAAAATAGTGTTTTTATAGTTATGCTTCATAGATAGGCCTTAATAAACACTGGGTTATTTTTTTTTTTTTGTTTTCTAAGCAGTAGTTAATTTTTGATAGCTTTTCAAACTTTTACTAATGATAACGTCATAGAGGGGCTGAAGGATTTACTATCTTTGTAAAGCATAAAAAGTATTAAGATGCATATTAATTAACATTTTACATAGATGACATGTTTAATCCAAATGCAAAGACTAGACTTTCGGGTATTTTGTTATGATTTAATTATAAATTAGATCAAATACATAAGCTACTTGATCGGAAAATAAAAGGTTTTTAAATGATTGTAAAAAATATGTGTACCGTAACGTAAACAACCTTGTATTAATTGACAGAGTAAGCTCGCACAAACTGTAAGATAATTAACGCTTTCGCTGTCTCGTGTACTACATATAGGTCATTGATATTGTCTTACTATTGTGTTTAAAAACCGGACAGTGAAAGTATTAAAATAAATCCAAACTTTAGGAAGACTGACCTTCGCAGCATGGCAATAGTCAACGCAAGCGTTATTATTAATCCATTGAATTAGAAATAGAGTTAAGCAAGAAATAAAAAAAAATATAATCGTATAATAAATAATAAACTAAACAGAGTCGTTGACTTTTGAGAACTTTACATCTTGACCGTGTAGTGGCAGTGTAAAAATATCCCCTACCCCATAACATCCCGTGGGTGTCGTCAAAGGCAACAGAAGGAAATTGAAACACGTAATGGGCAGCACCATATTCCTGATAACAACTCCAAATAATAAAAAAACAACACGCCCGCCAAGTAACAATAAAAAAGTCAACTATGGTAAAGTCGCCCCTATGAGGCCTCAGATAGAATATCTTGTTATATAATTATACGTCAACACGTATAGTCTAGTCCTTAATTGAAGTGCTAGGTGCAACATGACTTTCATTTGCCACATTAAGCTACGATGTAATTCAAGAAAAACTTTAATATAACAGTTATTTATGGTCTTATGGCTTTTTTATGCAAGCAACATTGTCACTTTTTTTTATTATGCCCTCACGAAAGAAAATCAGATCACATAACTAAGTTAAAATTTTATTTATATACGCTGTTTAGTGGTCTTTCGAGCCGGATATAAATCATAAAGATAAACAATTCCTTGTAAGATATTATTTTATCAAAGCCATGAAAGCTCATTGAAAATGTTTAAATTTATTCATACCTGTGTTGCGAGCAACTTTTCAAAGGCTTCGTGCTTCTTCAACTGGTTGTTCACTTCCTCTACACTGCACGTGGGTGAGATCTCCGTGCCTGTAATAGTCGTACAAGATGACAATTTCCTTGTATTAAAGTTTCACCTAAGGCCACTGATGTATGATCTAAAGATTGAGCATGTATTTTTTTTAAGAATAAGGGTGACAAACGCACATAGCACACGCATACAGTCCACCTGCTTAAGAATCAAAATGCAGATGCGTTGTCATTCCTGAGGACAAAAATGGACAGCCTCGTTTAAGTAAAAAGGGGTCTCCGGTTCTCTATACCCCATCAGCCTTCTCATTCTGTACCAAATACTAGCGTGAAATAGCAGTATTCAACTGCTATTTCACGCTAGTATTTTGTGAGTTTGGTTTTCCGAACCGAACCATTTGTGCTACAACCATAACATAGCTGCAGTATGGCTCCACCACGCTTTAAATGCGTGCAGGGGTCAGGGAGAGGGGCGGAGGCCAGGAAGGGTAAACTGCTGTGCAGCGCACAGCTCGTGCAGCTGTTTGCTGTCGCGCAGGAAGCAGTGTAGGTCGTGCAGCTGGTCCAGCGCCACCTGGCGTGCAGCCCAGGCTTCGTGCAGCGCTGCGCGCTCTTCCAGCAGCGCTTCGCACTTCTCCGAGATCTCCTGTAAACGTTCCACAGGTCACATGTGCCATCCTTAGTGATTTACTTAGCGCATAAGGGCTGCTATCCTACACTACGTCAATGCAGTCGTCCAGTCATCATATATCAAATTGCAAATTTGAAATTAAGCATCTAGGGTATGCATAATGCTAGCTGAGAGGTGTAGCCTAATGTCAAGTAGCCTAATAATATTCTTTATGAATCTGCCTATAATATATAAAAAGATTTTTTCAGATTGGACTGGTAGATATTGGCTTGTTTAAACAAATAAAAAAAAATTTAATTGTTTGTATAACAATTGGTGCTTCGAGCCGGGTCTGAAACAGCGATCTAAAACAGTTCACCTGTTCTCATAAACTAACACTTGCGACGAGATTCTGTACGTTTGATCGGCAACCTGTCATTGCCAGATGACTGACCTGGGCGGCGGGGTGTCCGTCGTCGAGCAGCTGCTGCGCGCGCTGCACGGCGGCGCGGAAGGCGTCGTCCCGCGCGTCGATCTCCGCGCGCAGCGCGTCGTGGTGCGCGCGCTGCGCCTGCGCCGCGGCCGCCGTGCGAGCCACCGCAGCACTCGCCATGCCGCCCCGCAGACCCGCAGACCAGCTCATTATGTCGCGCACCTGATTTTCATTCAACAATATTACTATACATTGAATAAAACTATTTTTACGGATTTTATCGCGTTTAATTAACTTATCTTATATTCCCGACGGTTGCTTTCCAGCAACCGTGGTCACGGGGGACTGCTGGAAAGCAACCGAAACGTCGGGAATATAAAATAAGTTAATTAAACGTGATAAAATCCGTAAAAATAATTTTATTCAATGTGTAGTGTTCGCGTAAATATAAGAAATCATTAATATCACTATAGTCTGTCAAAACTACACTGCTGAACATAGGCCTCTTTCATAAATTAGTGGATAGAAGAGATATTTGTCATAGTTGTCATGCTTGGCAAGCAGACTGGCAACCGCAGTTTTATTTTTAATTCGACTGCTCTATCAGGAAGATGCTGCTGCCGAAATCCTTGTTTGTTTTCCTCTGCCACCTCTTACGATACCACGGGATGAAATGATGTAGTAGATATTCTTACACCACGACTACACGGTGGTGGTGTTGTTTGTACATGAGGGCAAGCGACCACATTCCACTTAATTGTAAGATGCTGTAGTACAAAGACATTTATATGTACCCTCTACTAGAAATGAAATTGTGGATGCATTTTCACCCATGAAGACTAAGATGGAATGATTCTTTACCAATAAAAATTATCTCCAATTCTCTACACTCACGATACTTAAACCCAGCAGTATTAAGCTGCTGTTGAATCTGGTATTCTATGCAAACGTGGTCTTTCCCCGGTCGAACCGACCAATTCGTGCTACAACCATAAAATGTAACGTGGTTCTATCACGTCATTAGTACTGTAGTGCCCTTCTAGTAGAATACATAATAATCTTTGGGGAGAGCCTGTACTTTGGGTAAAGTAAGTTAATTGCCTTTTTAATCTAGTGGTCGTAAATGCGATTGCTGATTTTGTGGTCCTGGATTCAATTCCAAGTCGGCCCAAAATCAATTAATAATTATTCTATCAAGAAACTTTTCGGAGTTAGAAAGTTAGCTGTTTTGTATGTTGGTAGTATGTGTGAATTGGGGCTTCTGCGTCACTTGCTCTCGCATTCGCTCGAGCCATGCCGCTGAAAACCCCAATTCTCTTCAGAGACCCAACATTTTTAGTTTAACCAAATTAACGTCTACATACTCACAGTTCTATCCTGCGGGAACAAGTCCACTTCCAGTTGAGTTATTGAGTATTATATTCAGAGCGTTTACGAGATACTGATGGTATTGCCGCATCTATATGATTAATTTCTAATAATACAACTTGTTTAGCCTAATTTCATTGTAGTTAGTGCTAATAAACGTTTTTAAGCTATTGCATAGCTTTTATCGAGGGCTTTGAGCGCTGCAACCGAATCAAGAAATTCCGTAACGAAAAAAAAAAAACCTAAGACCCGAAAACCTAACATCGTAAATCCATTACAATAAAGATATTAATTAATTTGCAACCATCCGCTAACTAAATACAATGATGTGTCTTACCTGGATTGAAGAGCGCCTCCCACCCTCCCTCAATTGTTTCATTATTGTTTTATTCTCATAGCGAGTGCACGTTGATTACAACGCTCGTCAAATATCATCTATATTGGTGAGTTTAATTATTTTTTTACTATTTAGAAATTCAGCCGCCATTACCTTTTTTGAAGAGCGGCAATCGAAATCAAAGAAATGTTACAGGAAGAGAAACCGTTCTCAAGAATCATCATCATACATTATCCGCAGAGATAAAGATAAACAAGGTCATCGTCTGATTAAAATCTGCATTTGCAAACTTCCACGATCTTAGTGCTAATATAAGTGTTCAATATGTTGTGGATTCAATGTATGATGAAGTGTTAAATGCTACAAATTGTCTCATAAAAAAAAATAGGTGAAAAATTATGTGAGAACTAATAATTTAATTAATGTAGCTTGTAAAATATAATAAAAGTTATACATTGAATTTTATTATTGTTTTATTATGTATCATTATTATTCAATTGTGTAGAGGAAAAAAGAAAGACATTTATTGTTACAACGAATGTATTTATTAAAACTAAATATTTATTTATTTTAAATTAATATAAAGTTATAAACATGATAATACATGTAACTTAAGCTATACATTTATCTCTTACTTACTTATACAGTACATAGTAGTAGCATTACATAGTTTTACATTCAAATTTATTAAAATATAGTTTTATAGTGTCCCCACGGTAACGTATTGTAGCCATCTGCCATAATTTGTCTTTTATCATCATTTCTATTAAGTACAAGTTTATCAACTTTTTGAGTAAATATTTGATGATTCTTTGATCTAATTATACACATACTCTTTTTAAAGTTTTCATTAGACCATAACGCTCGTTTATATTTTTCAATATTAAGATTTTTAGTAAAAGATTTTTTAATACCCTTAGCTTTTTGAGGTTGTTTTAGAATCAATACAATATAATTTCGCTCTTAATCCAACAAATTCAGTTATTATATCACTATCCATTTCGTCTTTGAAAAACCCTGGAATTTTACAATTTACTTTCGGCATATCATACTGATTGTTTTTGAAATTACTTGTATCAAAATATTTTATATATTTTTTTTCATGTCTTCATAAAAATCATTTGTATTTATTAGATACAGCAGACTATCAGTATCAGTATAACAAAGTTGCAGTGAATATTTATACATGCGTTTCATTATTAGCTAAATCCAGAATTGAAAACCCAATGTAAATTGGCCGATCAAGGATAACTTTTGTTAGTTCTAACTGGATTGCTACTCTATCTACTACTACTATCTGAAATTATTGACAAATTTTTAAAATTAGGAGCACTTACATATTTTTCAGCTCCACATAGTTTATTAGTCTTATTGGATGTATCTTTCCATACATTAACCAATTTTACATCGACTTGTTTTCGTTTATTCTCTATTGTCTTTTCAAAAATAGAATTATTTTGTTTTCTAAAAAAATCTCTTTCAAAGTCTGAAGTAGCGTTTTGTCTAAGTGTTGTATTTAATAAAATATATGGTGCTAAAAATGCATTTTGACTAAATAACAATATCCTATAAACTTTGAGCAAAATGAGTCCATGACGTAAACATTCTTTTAAATGCTCATAATAAATAACATATTTACATTTATCGTACAGACTAGCTATTAATTTTTTATTTTTGCTTCCTGGCGGAGCAAACTTTTCTGCTGCAAATGGTAAATCTGAATGATCATCATGTATTTCAATTGGATAGTGCAAGTCTACTTCAAGAATATACCCAATATCACTATCATCAGGAACACTCATTACATCAAATTGATTAATTTCTTTTTCACTTAGGAATTTAAAGTTCCCCGTTGGTAACTTTTGCATAGCAAAGCCATATAAATTTACACAATCAAGATAAATTAGAAAATTGTTTTTATCATTGCTGTCATAATAGGACATGTATTTATTGTTTGCTTTTGCATATCTTAGAGAACATTGAGCAAGACCACCGCGAATTCCTTTCTCTAAAAATTGGTACATTTCAATATCTGAAAGTAAATCTAATTGTATGTCCGTATGAAACAACATAGCATCCCAACTTAATGATGGGGATGAGACATAGTAACATGGTATAAAAGCTTTTAGAAAAATTTACTTCGCAAATATCCGCGTTATAAAATAAAATTATGTATCTTACCTAGTATGGAGAGCACCTCCCACCCTCCCTCAATTCCGTGCACTATCCCAGTCAGCACTAATCCCAGCACCGCTACTCCCAACACCACTATAGTAGGCAAGACACACCACTGACGACAATACGACACGTGTTTCGCCTCTACACGATAGGCATCCTCAGGTGATATAGACTCTACGGTGGCTAATCGCTAAGTGAGCGACGAGCCAAAACAACTGCTATTTATACAGACCGCTGACGCAACCGCTCTCTACTTAAGGAGCGAGCGACTGCGTCATGCGATAAAACATGCGACCAATCACCGCCGGACTTACGCAGCCGTTTGTAAAATTAAAAACAAACCACCGCGCAACGCCCGTCTTACCTCCAACCACGCAACCAATCGCCGATCACCGTGAGGGTGACAAACGACCATATTGCGAGGCTCTCTATTATTAGAGAGCAGGCTTAAAGATATTTAAGAGAGGTGAGTTAGTAACATTTGTTTGTTCATTCAGCAGTGCAACGGTACTATTATTACTTTTTAATATCTCTAACTGTTCCAGCACACACAGCCGCAGCCCTTTATGACACGTATGTAAGACTTTAAAGGAGTGGTCGTTGGCTAGGTTGTGTCCAGTGTCCAAAAGATGTTTGGTAAAATGGGATTTATCGGGATTGCAATTCCTGTACGCGGCTAAATGCTCTTTATAACGTATCTCGAAATTGCAACCAGTCTGACCCACGTAAACGGCGTGGCATTCGTCACAAACAAGTTAGTTATGCAACCACAAGACCATAGGGTTGTTAGGGTTTGTACCTAGAGGGGGCTGCTTAAGCATTAGGCAGTATCCAGTAACCGTAGAGTCAGCGCTTTTGGTTGCATGAGATATCAGGCAGAGCTCATGGAAGCGGCCACTTCGTTTTGACATCGACTTCTGTCAAGACGTATTAATTAAGTAATTAGAATTATAATTATTGTAATTAGAAATAAATAGATTTTAAATAGTTTTTAAAAAATCATTTTACGTTCCCGTAAACTTGACTGGCGCAGCCGGTAGGATCGTCACACTTCGGTAGTGTTGCGTCCTTCGCGAATTCGATATAAAAATCTGTCGGAATCGGAGGTCCGCGGCGCGAGGAAAAAACCGATCCTCGAACCAAATCAAATTCGTCAAGGAAGCGGAGCTGATCTTGGACCATTAGAGCAGTTGGTGGCTGGTGAGTAGAACTTTTCACCATCCTTTCCATTACCTCGGCGTTCTGTTATCTTGAGATAGAACTTCTCTCATTTTAACGTATTCTGGTTAAATAGTTT